AGCTCGCTCGAGCGACGTCACCTGCACAAAATTGGCCTTCTCGGGTGGTTTTTCGCTTGAGCGACATTGTCTCGCTCGAGCGACATCCACATTTTTTGGTTATGATCGAGTACATTTTCAAATGATCGATCATATTTGAAAATATATAATAGCGGTTAAGATTTAACCGCTATTAGACGTGCTATATAATAGCGGTTAAGTTTTAACCGCTATTAGAAGTGCTATTATAATAGCGGTTAAGATTTAACCGCTATCATATACTACCACATTTTTCACTTTCATATCTCGCGCCACTTATCCCCAAATAACCCTAACTCTCGCGCTCGACTCACCCATTCCTCTTAACCTTGGCCGGTATCTCCTCCTCACTCCGGCGAGCCCTAGCCCCCTCACTTGCTCCTCCCAAGTCAGCCCTCACCCTAATCCAACCTCCACCAAAGCTCCTCGTCAACCGGACGCCACCACCGTGAGCCACCGCGCCACACCTCTGTTCTTAACCTCCTCCGCAGCCTCTGACACCCTCAACCAAGGTTTGGCTTGTTTGAATGTATATACTGTTATTCTCTTGCATTGTGAATAATATAGGAGAGATAATTTTGACATAATTTCTTTATGGTTTGTTGTAGGTGGATTTGTGAAGTAGATAGGTTCTTCGAGATCCCTCTTACTGCGGATTTGGTGGTGCTTGACAGACCAATTTGGGAACTTGTTTTGTTTTGTTTAAAATATGAACACCATTGTTATGTTTAAAATATGAAGGAATTTTAGCAGAGACCTTGTGCACACTTGTTCTTTTGTTTCCCTCTTTTACCTAGCAGGGTGCGGGAGCGGCGGTGGCACTCGAGTAACAGCGAGATCGTTGTGCTTTCTATAATTGCGGGTTCCTTGGGTGGCGGGTGCTTCACTTGTCTTCATATTTTTATTCGAGTTTGATTTTAGAAAGTTATGTGTGCATGATGTATCCTTTATAGTGTGTGTTGCGTAAACATAATAAGATCTTCAATTAACAAGAGGCCATGATTGTTAGGCTAGATGGTTTTGTACACCATTATCCTTCGTTTCATTTGAGGAAAATCTGAGGTACCAAGGTGATAAATAAACTTATTTTGTGATTAGTACAGGACACACTTGTACTTACATTATGGAAAGCAATACTTGAAAGATTGTTACATTGAAGGGAGTGTGGACTTCATTTTTGGTAATAGTATTGCACTCTTGGAACATTGTCACATCCATTGCAAGTCGCGAGGGTTTATAGCTGCACGAAGCGAAACTCTCCACGGGAAAAAGCTGGTTATGTATTCCTGAGGTGTGTGATCATGCCTAATACTTACAACATCATCTTCCCACATAATATTTTTTTTAGTCATTGTAACTTGTTTAACAAGGAAAGAGACATTTCCCAATCATCTTGTTTCCCCTACAATACAACGAGTGTTAGTGACTCTTACTTTGTTTTCCAATTCCAAGGCAAAATATGTTCTCTCTTAGTTCTTCGATGTGAAATCAAGTAAGTACCTAGGTTGAAGTTTATCATCATGACTGAGTCATGTTTATGAAAACTGATTAAGATAATGAGAGAATGCTTGGTTTTGAAGATGATCTTGCTTTTAAGTTTTGCGGTTTGGTTTGTAAATGTTTAGAAGCATGGCTAACACGGATTTAGGAGTATTTAATTAGAAAAAACATTCTAGGTTAAAACAAGAACCAGATTCTCTTGAAGCTAGGGAAATGATCCCTTGAAAATTCAATGAATTCAGGAATCCTGTAAGAAATCTTAGAATAAAAATATTTGAATCTCATACTACTCTATGCTTCCTTGTCAATATTTTGCTCCTCTCCCTTTACGAGTGTTTCTTTGGTGTGTTAATCTGTTAAACTTACGAGTCCAAGAAAGGATACTACACAAGTAAAGTACTTTTATTATGTTGTGAACATTTTGGTTCCTTACATGATGTTTTGTTTGTGGTGTCATTGCAGATGTGTTGTCACAGGTAATGGGGGAACTTCATATGCATATCTGGGAAGACCATGGAGACCTTTTGCAAGAGTGGTTTTTGCATTCACTTTCATGGATCAATGTATAAAGCCTGCAGGGTGGAATAATTGGGGCAAAGTTGAGAATGAAAGAACTTCTTGCTTCTATGAATACAGGCATTCATTTCTAACTCCATTACGTAGTATTGTTATCATCACCAAGGCCTTCTTATACTCATTAAATCAATGGATCTGACAGCAAAATTGTTGATAATTTCATAAAAACATCAAAGTGAAAGAGGGTCTAAAGTGTATAAAATTGTTGTTTATTGAGTTGAACAAGTTTGGAGTAATTTGATAAGAGTGCAGGTGTTCTGGACCGGGTTTCTGTCCATCCCAAAGAGTGAAATGGGCGAGAGAATTGAAGAATGAAGGAGGCTGAGCAGTTTATGAGTCACACCTTCATTGATCCAGAATCGGACAGATCTTGGCTTCCTCAAAGAATGACCTTCAATTATTAATTAGGATTATTATTATAATAGAATAATTAATAGATTTTGGCTTCCTTCATAAAATTCCTACTACAAGTCAATATGACAACGACAATATACCAGAGGACTAATTTTCAATTTTATGATATTAAGACTTTGAATCTTGAGTAGTTGTTAAGTTCTTAAATTTCATTTGTGTTATGTTTGGATGAATTAAGCACGTACAAATTTTGTAAAATTGGATATACAAAATTTGACTTTAGTTCTTAAGTTTTCATTTGTGTTATGTTTGGATGAATTAAGCGGTACAAATTTTATGATTTGAATAATTTGACTTTAGTTCTTAAGTTTTCATTTGTGTTATGTTTGGATGAATTAAGCGGTACAAATTTTGTCAAATTGGATATACAAAATTTTAAGCGAAAATTTTCAGATTTGGTTAGATTAGCGACCGAATTTTTGGTCGCTACAAATTTATTATAATATACAATTCAAATTTAGCGACCGATTTAGCGATCGATTTAAATTATTATTTAAATAATTCAATTAATATATTAGCGATCGATTATATCAGTCAGCTATTATTTTTAACTTTGTCTCCATTTTAGCGACCGATTTTAATTATTATTTAAATAATTATATTAATATATTAGCGACAGAATATATCGGTCAGCTATTTTTTAAAACTTTACCACAAATTTAGCGACCGATTTATTATATTATTTTCGGTCACTATTTTTGGTCTTCAATGCATAAGTGACCAAATTATTTAGCGACCACTTTAGCGACCACCTCATCGGTCGCTATTTAGCGACCGAAATATAATCGGTCGCTAACAAATTAGCGACTTACCCTTTTGCGACCAATCATTTCGGTCGCTAACAGAATAGCGACCGATTTTTGCCCATTAGCGACCGATTTTGTCGGTCGCTAATAGCGTTTTTTCTTGTAGTGAATATACCATTAAAGATGGTAAGAGAGAACATAAAGCAAATATTATATGAATTCACCAGCACCCACGAAATGAAAACAAATAATAGTTTGAAATATGAAAATAAATTTGTTAAAAGGGAACATTGCATGGTTATTAAAGAGATTTTCTAAACTCATTAGCAACAATCAAATGAAAGCAAAAAATGGTTTGCAATATAGTTTCAACTAACATTGTATATGGTATGCAAATACAATATGAATTCAGAGAAGGTGAGATAATTTAAATATAGTTTCAACTAATAATATATTTGGTATCAATAATATGAAAATATAGAAGGTAAGAGAGAGAATATATTACAATGTGATAAAGAGCAAATGAAGTCATCGAAACATATATTCCAATCATATATATATTTAATAATAATAATAATAATAATAATAATAATAATAATAATAATAATAATAATAAGTTTCAAATAAGAACATTTTAGATTTCAAATTTCAATTTTAAAACTCACTTTTTCTATAAAATACAAAGATATTACCTTAGCTACCTAAATATCATAAAGAACAAAGGTGAAACAAATGGTACATGACCTAATGGATATGAGCTGTACCAAATGCATACACTTATAGTTAGGTTTGACCACCAAATAGATGATACTTTTATATAACATAATAAAAGAGAAATGATTCAAGTGAGTAAAAATACTTTTAATGAGAAGGCGAGAATAAGAGGTGAAAGAATGATAAACATGTGTAGGGTGGGACCAATGATCATTGATCCTAATGGAATCAAATAATATATCAATAAATAATAAATGAATATGAAAAAAATATAAAAGAATAAAAGGTTAAATTTATAAAATATAAATAATTATAATTAATAATTTGAGAGTACAAAATCACAAATACTAAATTAAGTTATAAAACTTTAAAAATAATAATTAAAAAAAATCTAAAATATAAATTACAAAACTTTAATAAGAGTTATGATTTTCTCACTTCCGAATTAGCTTGGTGGGATCCACGTGATAAGAAGGTAAAAGGAGAGGATGAGAAAAGTGTGATAAAAAGATGAAAGAGTGAGTTTTTTTTTTTTTTTTTTAAATGGTATTGTAAAAAGTTGAATTTAATTTTGATTTTTTTTTTGTAAAATTTTATAGTGTTGAAACTGTAATTTGTTGACACTTGTGTTACTTAGTTTAAAACGTAATTTTATATAAACTAGTTTCATATATTAAGTTAATTTTGTGGACACTCGTTTAAACAACTATGGAAGACCTGAAATAATTTCATATAAAGTTCATCGTTTTTGGTTCTCAGTTGACATTGTTAAAGGACAATAATATTAATTGATTAGTCAAACGTAAAAAATGGAGACAGATGCCGGAAATAGGACAATAATATTTCTCCAGAACAGGAAATGTGAAGAAAAAGAAAAAATGACATATAAATTTATTTACATAAACTACAATACCGATTTATGATTATTGAATGAAAAATAATTGTTGATGAAACTGCCATGAATACATTCAAGTGTTCAACGAAGTATGAAATATATTGTATTGATTTTTATAATCATAAATTCTGGACTGTTCAGAAACAATCCAACCCTAGCAAGTATGTTTTACTTTTTATCAACGAGGGGTTTGCCCTATCAACTACCTGAAACAAGTGACAAGGCGATGATATTGTCTGAATTATCATGCATTTTATGAAAAACTATACTAAATCCATTATATAGAGCACTTAAAAACATGGACAAACAGTTGTATTACCTCAAACCCAAACTTTTGGTACAATACCAGTGCAGGGTTATTGTCTCTGTCCACATGCACATAAAGACGTGGCACACCTGCATGCATAACGAATTCAGAATATATTGGTAAGCTTCAAGCCTTATTTTAAGGTCCTATATAATATCAGACGTTAGTTGTAAAAGTTACTCTCACATCAATGTTCATATTACCATTGGATTTTGCAGATTCCACAGCAAAATACAACATGTTGCTTGCAATACCCTTGCGGCGAAGTGATTTGGCAACACACAAGTTTGCAATATAACCAAAAATGCTTGATGGTGTTCGATTGACTTTACAAAAACGAGGAGGATTCCCAAGTTCCTGCACAAATTGTTAGTTAGAAAAGCATAAAAACCATCAAAGAGAACAAGAAAGGTGATGCACAGAATAATATCTTACCCCAGGAAAGGTCTCCCCTACCAGCAAATATCGGATATTCAAATCAAGGGTTCCTACAACACTTCTTACTACCAAGCGTTTTACATCCTTGTGCTGCTTCTTCACCTGATAAACTTGACATCTTAAGGGAAAAAATAAAAGAAACTAAACAGATATATGCTTGAAAGAAAGAAAAGGAATTAAACAGATATATGTTTTATCAAATGATCCATCAATGCTCTTACCGTGATGATGCATGTGGAACTCTGACCTTGTTGTGGCTCCTTGCACCTCTTTTTTATCTTATAAAATTCCTGCGCAATAGGAATTCTTGTTAAGATTTTCATCAAGGGATACTCAATGCATATAGTCACAAAGTAATTAGCATCAACTCTCACCTTATAAGCAAATTCCCTCTTCCTATAATAACTAAATCTGGATAAAACATAATCACAATTAGCAGCACCCAATTTTTCATACATTGTGAATAAATGTATGGTTAATATAGATTGTCATTATTAAAAAAAAAAAAAGGAAAGAAAATCTCAATCAATGATTCAATTATAATAAACCATGCATACTGTTCTTTTCTCTTTTCCCCTTCATATTCTGCCCTTAGCCACGCTGCTGTCTGCATTAATAACAAAAATAAATACTCATAAAAAACAATAAAAAAGATTTAAAGAAGGAAAAAAAAAAAAACTTACCCAATACTCTTCTTCCAGAAGGGACTCTCTTACCACAAAATTGCCAAACTCAAAGCTATTGTGTGGACCCAATTCTTGAGGCGAAGGTTGCCAGCGCCCAAAGTGGAGATTGCAGAAGGTTTCCACTCTAGAGACAGGTGACGTTAGGCTCGAAAGTTGCACCGAAACTTCTTTCTCTTTCTTGAGTTTCAAGAAACCATAACCAATAGTCCTAACAGAAAACAACAGTGAAGCTCATAACTAAGATCATACATTCAAGCAGAGAAAGGGTTTTAAGAAGCAAGAAAAAGAAGGTGACCTGGGGAGAGAAGCCGCGGTCCTTGGACATTTAGAAGAAACGAAATTGTGGAAGTGTGGGGCGTTAATTGGGAAAGAAATAGAAGGCATGATTGTTTGTTTGCTTGTTGTGAAGAAGAAATTAGTTTGGTTTTGGAGTTTGAAGAGGAAAGTAAAGGGAGGATTTGGCACAATATAAAGAGAACACCCATTCAAACTTCAAATCTACACTAATCACGTTCTTTTTTGCATTGACGTCGAATAAAAAATTTTATCCTAAGTATTGTTATTAACCTGTATTCCAGAAAAATAAGAACCTATTTCTACACGTTGCAAACAACGTTACAGAGAATCTTATCGATCAAGATGCAGATCTATTACCAAGTCCGAGATTTTTTTTCCTTATTTTATGGCACTTGCTAGGCATTTGAGTGATGTGGACTTGAAAAGTTAGAATTTTTTATCCAATCTACACCTACCACTTCAAACTTTTCCAAAATACAGCTCTCTCATTTTTATATTTTATTTTTATCTTGAGTTTATTTAGGTATATGTACAAAATAATATATATACAAAATAATAGTCTACCTAGGGACAAAATGATATGTACAAATAAGTAGACAAAATAATATCTCAAAGGTATGTATAAAACAAAATGGGGATAAAATAATATTCTAGACATATATATAAAATAATATAGGGACAAAATAATATCTTACATGTATGTACAAAATAACATGTGGACAATATGTATAGAATATTAGTTGAGACTGTATCATACGTGGAAAATCAAGTTATCTTGCACATCAGGCATACATAGAATAAGAAAACAATCCTTTCATGGCAAATTTATCCGAAATAGAAGATATATTTGTTACGGTCGTTTTCCAAATAAACCTTTAACAAATATTTAGTATATCATTTTTCAAATAAACTTTTAACAAATGTGAGCAAATGGTAGACTATGGTACTATCAGACACATCTGTGTAAAAAAAATTATTTTATCTCCAACACTAGTGTAGGGTAGAGGAGAATATGTTTATGTTGGTGATTACAACTTGCTCACATCTGGGAAGACTTTGGCCGTGAGTGATGTGCTACATGTGTCATCAATAAGAGTTAATCTAATTTCTTCACACTCTTCCAAAACACAACTCTCTCATGTTCTCAATTCCTCCTTATGTTCTATTCTTATCTTGGATTTATTTACTTTTTTAGAAGTTTCTTGCTAGGATATGAGACGTTGGAAAATTCGAGAAGTTATTGTTGTATCATGGGTGTTGCGCTCTGACTAATGGCTATAGCTTTTGGCCTAGTGGTAAGCGCTCGATCCTAACATTCGAGAAGTTCGATGGCAGTGACTTCGGGTTCTGGAAGATGCAGATGGAAGATTATCTGTATCAGAAGAAGTTGTATCTACCCTTGACAGGGCAGAAGCCAACCGACATGGAGCAGTCAGAATGAGAGTTGTTAGATCGGCAGACGCTTGGTGTGATCCGGCTGACATTAGCCAAGAATGTTGCGTTCAACATCATGAACGAAAAGACAACCGTAGATTTGATGCAGGCGTTGTCAAATATGTATGAGAAGCCCTCTGCAGCCAATAAAGTGCATTTGATTCGCAGGCTAGTCAACCTCAAAATGGGTGAAGGTAACTCGGTTACTAATCATATTAGTGAATTTAATGCAATTATTGCGCGAGTTGACATCGGTCTGAGATAATATTTGATGATGAGGTGAAAGCATTAATTTTATTATCATCTCTACGGAAAGTTGGGGTGCAAGCTATTCTTTGCGATAAGTAATTACTGCAAGCAATAACAAGTTGAAGCTTGATAACATCCAGTGACTTGATCTTAAGCGAAGATGTTCGCGGGAAAAATTCGAGTAGAATCTTTCGGTTCTAATTCGGGTTCGGCATTGAGTGCTGAAACTAGAGGAAGAAGTCGCCGGAAAGGTCGTAATCAAGGCAGAGGCGAGATCAAAATCCGAGAGGAGATCACAAGCAAAAGTCCGGAATGATATCACTTGTTGGAATTGTCGAGAAAAAGGGCCACTTTTCAAATCGGTGTAGGGCTCCAAAGAAGGACAACAACAACAACAAGAAGCAAGATGATGATCAATCGGCAAATGCGGCAATCGATGAAGTTGAAGATGCACTTGTTATGTAGTTTAGATAATTCTATTGACTCATGGATTATGGACTCGGGTGCGTCATTTCATACTACACCTTCCTTAGAACTATTATCTAACTATGTTTCTGGAAAGTTTGGGAAGGTCTACCTTGCGAGATGGAAAATCTCTTGATATCATAGGAAGAGGTGATATTAACATCGGAACCTCTAATGGAAACGTGTGGACTTTGAATAATGTCGGACATATTCCAACCTTAAAGAGAAACTTAATATCTATAGGGCGGTTGGATGATGAGGGACATTACACCACTTTTGGAGATGGACATTGGAAGGTAATGAAAGATAATCTTGTTGTTGCTCGTGGAAAGAAGCAAGGATCTCTCTACATGATTGCGAGATGAGGATATGATATCGGTTGCAGAAGTTGGCAACAATTCCTCCTTATGGCATCGGAGGCTTGGGCATATGAGTGAGAAAGGAATGAAGCTCATGATATCAAAAGGTAAAATACCTAACGTGAAGCATGTTGACGTTGGACCTTGCGAACATTGTATCTTTGGAAAGCGAAAAAAGGTTAGCTTCTCAAAAACAAGTAAGTCGTCTAAAGTTGAAAGACTAGAACTAGTGCATACGAGATGTTTGGGGGCCGGCTTCGGTGAAATCCCTTGGAGGTTCACAATATTATGTAACCTTCATTGATGACTCTACAAGAAAGGTATGGGTTTATTTTCTTAAAAATAAATCGATGTGTTTTCTGTGTTTAAAAGGTGGAAAAAGGAGGTTGAGACTCAAACAGGTTTAAAGGTCAAATGTTTGAAGTCCGATAATGGTGGAGAATATGACGATGAGTCAATTCAAGGAGTTTTGTTCGAGAGAATGGGATCGGAATGATCAAGACAGGTTCCAGGAACACCGAGAACAAAACGGTGTGGCGGAAAGAATGAACGAGAACCTTGAATGAGAGAGCAAGATGTATGAGAATCCGATCGAGGATTACCCAAGGTATTTTGGGCGGATGCAATAAACACAGCGACCTATCTCATAAACGAGAGGACCATCAGTTCCTTTAGACTATAAGTTACACGAAGAAGTATGGTGCGGAAAAGAGGTAAATCTTTCACATCCGAAAGTTTTTGGTTGTGCTTCATATGTTATGTTAGACTCTAATAGTAGAGATAAATTGGACCCTAAGGCAAAACGTTGTTATTTCATTGGTTATGGATCTGACATGTTTGGCTACGGGTTTTGGGATGACCAAAACAAGAAAATTATCGAAGTAGAAATGTTACTTTTAATGAAAACATGTTTTATAGAGACGAGGATTGCGAGAATCTGCAAATGTAAATAAACGACTAGAGCAAGTATCATTAGAAGAAATTTCAGAAAGTGATGTAGTCAACCGAAGGCGAGAATATACAAGTAGAGCCTATGTCGAGCACGAGACAGAACTCGAACAAATAGTAGAGTCGACGACTCCCGAAATCTTGGTTAGAAGATCTAGCGAGAACAATTGTAGCACCACAAAGGTATTCCCCTTCATTGCATTATTTGTTGTTGATCGATCTTTGGTGAGCCGAAGCATTTCTGTGAGGCTATGCGAGGAGATGAATCTATTAAGTGGGAGCTAGCAATGGAAGATGAGATAAAGTCCCTTCAGAAGAATAAAACATGGTCTTTAACCAAGCTACCGAGAAGGAAAGAAAGTTTTGCAAAACAGGTGGGTCTATAGGTTGAAAGAAGAACCGGATGGCGGCAAAAGATATAAGGCTAGACTCGTAGTGAAAGGGTTCCAACAAAGACAAGGAATTGACTTCACAGAAATTTTCTCTCCTGTTGTCAAGATGACTACCATCGAGTTATCTTGAGTATAGTAAGCTACGAGAAAATCTTCATTTGGAGCGGTTAGATGTCAAAGCTGCATTCTTACATGGGGATCTTGAAGAGGAAATTTTTATGACACGGCCAAAAGGTTTTGAAGTACAAGGCGGAGAAAATCTTGTATGCAAGCTTCATAAAAGAATGTACGGATTAAAACAAGCGCCGAGACAATGGTACAAGAAGTTTAATGAGTTTATGAGAAACTCGGGATTTCGCAAATGTGAAGAAGATCACTGTTGTTATGTGAAGAAATATGTTGATAGCTATATCATTCTTGCCTTATATGTTGACGACATGTTGATTGTTGGAGCTAATATGACGAGAAATTGACAAGTTGAAGAAACAATTGTCGAGAGAGCTTTGAAATGAAGGATCTTGGTCCAGCCAAGCAAATTCTTGGTATGAGAATCTCCCAAGATAGAGATAAAGGTATTTTGAACTTATCTCAAGAAAAATATATAGAAAAATTGCTTAGCAGATTCAATGTTGGGAATGCTAAAACCAGGAATACACCTTTGGGAACTCACTTAAAGTTTTCAAAGAGGCAATCTTCTCAAAGCAGAAGAAGAAGAAAGTCACATGTCTAAAGTGCCATATGCATCTGCAGGTAGGAAGCTTGATGTATGTTATGGTTTGCACCGGACCGGACATAGCACATGCGAGTGGGAGTTGTGAGCGATTTCTATCAAATCCGGAAAGGAGCATTGGGAAGGAGTGAAGTGGATATTCGGATATTTGAAAGGCACTTCAAAGATGCATTTGTCTTTCAAGAGAAGTAATCTCATTTTACGGGGGTTCTTCGATGCGAGACTTGGGAGGTGATCTTGACGGTAGAAAGAGCACAACGAGGTTATATTTTTACATTGGGTGGTACAGCTATCGGTTGGAAGTCTAAACTTCAAGGAAGGGTCTCTCTCGACCACGAAGCGAGTATGTAGCTATCTCGGAAGCGGCGAAGGAGATGATATGGTTGAAGAACCTTCAAAAGAATTAGGAAGAGAACAAGATGGTTCTCCAGTTGTTTAGTGACGATCAAAGTGCTATTTGTCTTGCTAAAAATCCAATCCTTCATTCCGAGATGTAAGTACATTGAATTGAAGTATCATTTTATCGAAACACGATAAATGATGGAGACTTGAGTTTGTTGAAGATTCAGGTGCGAGAGAATCCGCTGATATGTTGACCAAGACTGTTACAACAACTAAGTTGAGGCTTTGCATTGCCTCAGCTGGCCTTCGAGCAAATTGATGATGAAGGCACTACACTAGGTGGTAACGTAAATCAAACTCCAAGTGGGAGAATTGTTAGTATTATGGTGCTTGATTTAGTCCCACATCGATTAGGATTGTGAGATGAGGTTCTCTATTTTGTTATATAAGCAACCCTATGTAAAGTTTGATATACACACAGAAATAAAAATACTTCCTAGTGTAGTCGTGGACGTAGGCATACATATTTTAGCCGAACCACGTTAAAAATTCTTGTGTCGTTTATTTTTCTCTCCTTCATTCTTTCCTTTATTATTGTCTTGTTCCTAACAATGGGGACTTGCGCAATACACCGCAGATAAATTCTCGGAAATACAAGTTTGTTCGTGTCTATGTCAGTTTTTAATAATAATAATAATAACATTTATTATTAATAATATTTAAATATTATATGATACGTTGAAAAAAAAATCTTAAAATTGTTTATATTATTTTTTCTTAAACTATAATTTTTTTTATATTAAGGGACTAGAATAATAAAATGGATAATATATCATATAATAATATTAGAATAAATTTGAGATATAACATTTTTATTTTTAGATAAAATAAGAATTTTTTTTATTATAAATATCATTTGAATTTTTGGATTTTATTATATATTATAGATTGAGGAATGAATATTACGTTAAATTTTAATTTATAGAATAAAGTATGAAATTAAGAATTTATAACTAAACAGTTTTTTATTTTAACTATATTTTTATATCTACTGTAAAAAAAGTTGTTTAAAAAACTTAAATAGCCTGGTGTTTAAACTTTTTAATTAAGTTCGTCCTATTGGTTTAACGATATATGTTAACAATATTTATTGAGAAGGGAAATGCTTAAACTTATTTTTGTTAGATAATTATTGAAAAGAGAAAGAAGACCGGTAAAGCTCATCTAATAAGAAATTAATAGAATTCTGTGCGGCAAACAATCTTAAGGGTAATTTATGTAATCAACGGTAATCCCTTTGAAGCTTATAGTTAAAGTTATGAATTGCAAACAATGCTAATTTTGATTTTTTATTTTATTTTTCAATCTTCTATTACAATAATGTTTCATGGTTGGTTTGTTCTCACGCATAGTTTGTTTTATCAATTTTATGCCTGGACATGCAAACACAAGAATTCAAGCATACGTTACAAAACAGTTTACATTCAATCTTTTGTGTCTTTTGATAGAATAAAGAAGTTTATTAAAGCCTCCTTTTAATTTCGCTTCGAATGTTAGAATATCAATAGACTCTTCACGTTTGAGCAAATTGTGTCTACATATCACTTGATCAAATTGTGCCTATATATTTTGTAATTTATAAGAATTAGATTGTTTCTTTTCTAAGACTTTAATTTCTTACTATGTTTTCTCATGTAAAACACGATTTAATCAATTTTTTAATATAACATTGTATTGTATGTGAAAAACAATCCAGTAAAGAAGATTACTCTTGCCGTGAGTGCTCACAACATTCAAAGGCCACACTCATAGTGACCCCAACACCAACCAATAATAAAACAATGATGCAAATATCTGCACTACTAGTACAAGGTAGAAGGAAGACAGAGCAAAACGTTGAATAAGCCTAGCCTCAGGGTTCAAAATCAGTCTTCACCCATTTCCCATAGTTGCTTTTCATTTTCTCATCCAGTTCCTTGGTTTTCATTTCTGCCATCTTGGTTGCATTGGCCATGGACTCCTCTTGCACTTCTGCAATCCTTCTACTCCTCTTCCTTGCCGAGGCCTCCTTCTCTGCGCACAGTTCCTCATAATCCTTCACCCAACAACTGTGCACAGCACAACTCAGCATCAACACCACACACTGCAACATGCACATTGCCATCAATGCCCCACATTCCACCCTCACCAAAAGTTTGGCTTCCTTGGGGTCCCTCGGTGACTTCAGCAGGGACATGCTAGCTTTTTCTTTTGTGAATAAGGCTAATATGCTCAGTACTTGTCCTATTAAGGAGGCTAGTAACAGTGAAATGTGGGTGAGGAAACAGAAGTGTGTGAGCTGGGAGTAGAAGCCCACAAAAGATGAGAGAAGTGAGATGCCAGAGACCATAAGGAGAGCCAGGCCGAATGAAGTTGGGGGCATCTTGAGGAGAATGGTGGGTGCAAATGAGGATGCTGAGAGGATAAAGAGACAGAAATTCAAACAGCTAATAAGAAGGTTGGTGAAGGAACATGCCTTTCTGATCTTGGAAGCAGCCATTTTACTTTGGCTTGGTTGATTTCTTGAGAATATAATTAGGTTTGCTTTGGTTTTGGAAGAGGGTGGAGAAGGATTTGAATTTATAAGGGGGTGAAATGTGCCGTTAAGGACGATTATAACGGCTAACATAAGGGAGGCCCCACTTTTTTTCACTGGTTCTTGGATAGTGTAATATTCCCTCCCCAGGCATTCAAACCTGTCTTGAATAAGAAAAAGTGATGATTATGAATCATTGATGGAGCTACGTTACAAAAGTAAGTACGATATGAACGTGACAACAACGTAAACATTACGAGTACCCGCTCACACGGATCAGTATCACGGAAAGTACCCCTCTCAGCATTTAACAACAGTTAAATTGATGGTTTCATATGATACAAATTTGATTATGTGGAACAATATCAAATGTTAACCTTATCTTTCAACTTAAAAATAGTTACTTTGCAACACGGAGAAAAAGGAATTATTTTTATGTACTATGTAGTATTAGATTGTCATTCCCTGAGTTTTTCCGACTAAAATAGCCAGATAAAAGAAAAAAGAGATGGCCATCTTCAATCTTCAGTTAGCCAAGTTCTCTTGCGACTAGGTTAGAAAGCAAATGACGATTAAATAGTATGCACTCAAGTTTACACACACTTCTTCTCTCTGTTAAAGCAGGGATATTTGGGGGGAGCAATCAAGAAATATGCAACATCTTAAATCAGGATCTGAAATAAGTACTAATTACAGTCACATGTACAAATTATTGCACTGGCAAAGTAAATAACTCGACTCTGTTGAAGTAATGTATGCACAAGGCAAAGGAGCCCCTTTGAATACGAGTAGTTTTACTCCCTCTCCGACGCTCCATAACTTTTTAAATGGGGGCCATTTCACAATTTACGAATAACTTTCCCGGCATCATCTTGACTCCACTTTTGAGACTTGTATGCATTTCAAGCAGGTAGGACATATTTCAAAATTTCACTTGCACACTGCAGAAACTATACTCGGATTAGGAAGCTGTCAATTTCAACAACTAGTGGTGAGTTAGTATCATGAAGCTATCTAATTTTGCTAACATCAAAACGACCAATTCAAATTTTCATCACAAAAATAGTGTTCTGTGCATTTTTTTATCACAAAAATAATGTTCTAAAAAAGAAAGAGTACAGCAGCAGCATGATCTGCAGAAACTTGATAAAGGGGTCTAATTCTTAATAAAAATATATATTTCATTTTTTTCCTCTCAATCACAATATTTAGATAGATTCAGTTCCACAGCATAAAATAATGCACAAATTATGCTAACATCCACTGCACATAAAGCATCATTGTATATATTTCTGGTCTTAATCTTTATAAATTGAAAGTGTAATTAAGTTGAATAAAGGAATGTTATACAACTTTCAGCATAATTATTCCTTTTTCCTGTTTGCTGGTGCTACTGTCTTCAACCACTACTTGGAACTAATTGCAAAAGTGAATGGGGTCTACCATACCTCATTAACATTATCTTCTATACCCAAATCAAGCATCATCACTGTGGGTTAAGATGGCCTCAACTCTATCTAGTGATGCTTGTAGTCGTCCTGAGTGCATGTTGAACAGTGGCTCATTAGTACCCAGAGCCCTGTTAAGGTTTAAAATTTAAATTAATCAGTCATTCATGAAACACAACAAAGATAACAAGCAACTATATGAATAAGAAATAAAAAATGTAATACCATAGCTAATCCCAAAATACTTTATAAGAGTATACTTTATAAACACTGATAAACGTATTTCAGTTTCAAAGCTGACTATTTCTTCATTAAATGAAAAAATTACAAAACTTGCCCAGTAATTTCAGGAAGAACATAGTCCGCCCTCCATCCAAACCGCAAGTCAAAACCAGGACACAAGCCAACTGATGTCTTGTTTCTGATTCGGGATACACCATCTCCACCCAAACATGTGGTGAGCTTCCATTTCCAACCAGTAGCATGCACTTGAAAATTATGTCCTATACCAACCTGCACTGTTTATGTCAGTGTGAATCATTTCAAATGAAATTTTACAGGAAGTTGGACAGAAACTTGTCATGGCATGAAAATTACTAATGGGATCAATGTGTACAAATACAAGCACATGAAAATGTCACATTTAATACCATTTTCAAATGTTTTCTGTAACTACCACAATAAATTAGTCATGACATGAAAAACATAAATAGACACCACAAACCTGAAGATTAAGAAATTTGGTGATGGGGATCTTTTTTGACAGAATGCGAACATCATGATGAAGGGGCTCATAAATTATCTTCCACTTCCATTCAGGTGTTAAAGGCTTCAATACAAGCTTTGCTTGATATTCATTGACTGGGGCATTGTAGAACTGCACCCAAAAAAAGGATCCCCTGAATAAGTAAAGTAGTCATCATATGTAAATAATTAGCTAGTACACAAAAATCTTGAGCTGTGAGAGTTCATGACTTGAAGTGTGTTACTATTATAGCTCCCAGATCCGGAATCTAATCTAGCTAGGTAATTCTTAGAACATTAAGATAGAGTAACAAATTTGCTTGATAAACAAAACATTAACTTCTACTCCAAAAATTTCACAAGGTTTGGAATCAAGTGATATATCCCCCAAGCTTTGCTTTATTAGCCTTTTCATATTAGCATAGCCAACCACAGGTAAGTTTTTCAGTCCAAATTATCCTTCATGAAACAATATCAATAAAATAACTACATAGCATGTATCTCTCTATGTTGCTTATATGTATGGAAAACGTAAACAGTAACCTTAATCCCTGAAAGTGGAAGACGTAGTATGTTAAACAAGTCTGTTAAATGTTAAACAAGTCCCCAAATTTAGCTACTTACGCCTAAATATATCTTAATACTATCACATTAGTCTCAAGTTTACGTGACCTTTGGACTAATGTAACTGTTCCACCTACACTCCTATGGAATTCTTTTATTTACTTCAATTCGAAGACAAACATAACAGTGCCCATAAATTTAGGAACAAAAATAACAGGTTAGTCTGAATGAAAACCTTAACTCAAATGCAACTATATGTATGAACAAAAATAGTCAAATTATAAAAAGAGAGTTATAAATTAATGGGTGCGGAAAGAATCGCCATGAAATGGAACAGAAATGAACCTCCATGTTGAGACCAACTCGAACGCCCTGAAGCTCTTTTCGGAACTTGAAGAACAACTCGGAAGGCATCAAATTGATGTTGTATAGTTCATCCCACGAAGTCGGTTCCTCCCCGTTCGCGTTTGCCACCGATTCCATTTTTGGACAAACCTGCAAAACTCACTTCAATGTACAAATAATATCATCCATCGATAATGAATAATAATTAATTTGATTACCCAAAAGCGCATTTACCCCCAAAGTTTGCACTGCAATGAGATGGAAGCTAAGCAGATTCACGAAACGACTCTGGAACCAGTTCTTTACTGGTTGGAAATTGGATATGTAAGTTTTCACCAGTTTCACTCACTCACCCTAATTGCTCCAAATACCCTTGTGCCGCTGAACTCAATTCTTCAATTTTGTTAACCTATATTCAAATTCTGCCTTCCTAATTATTTTCAGTTAATTCTTGATACTATTAGCAATTCAAGTCAAAATTACTATTAAACACTTAAAGCAAACGTATTTCTTCATTAATGATTTACATGTTCAATGTTTACAACGATTATTTATTTTCTCATGTTTGCTGTTTTTTAAAGTCAATTCTCTAAATATCATGGCAGGTTAGTTTGGACACAAACTTTCTTTTCACAAAGTCCTAAATTATTGTTCAAATTTTGGCAAAATAAAAAGTTATATTCGATTCTTAATCCCATTTCAATAGAGTTTTTTTATCAGAAAGATAATGTCTTTTACGAATATTATTTGTGTGAAAAACTGTTATCAAATAATAAATAAAAATTGTTTTATTAAAAAAATTAAAAATAACCTTAAAATAATTATTATAAGAATAATTTCATTATATTTAATTATTTATTATTAAATAGCAGAGATCGTAATTTTATTTAAAAGATGAAACATAAAAAAATATATATTATTTTTTGTTGGAGACAAATGTAATATTAAAAGAAAAATATTTATTAAAAAATAATTTAATTAAATATTTATTTAATTACAAATTTATTTATATACATTTTTAATTATTTTTTATAAATAAAATAATCTTATAAATAAGTAGTATTAAATTAATATCTTTTTTTAATAATATACTTTAAAATAAATAATTATATTTTTAAATATTTAAATTTAAATTAATAAAACAATATCACATTAAAAATATAAAAAATATCATCTTATTGATTTGATTTTTATAGTATTCTATAATATATATATATATATATATATATATTATAAATCCACAACATAGAATAAATAATTATTTATTTATAAAATAATAATTTTTTATATTTATTATTATGTTTCAATTATATACAAATAAGAGTAAAATATATATTTTCAGTAAACAAATTTTTTTAATTATTGAATAATAAAAATATTACTTACTCATTCATTCTTTATACTAGTTATTTTTTTCATAATACTCTTAAAATAAATAATTGATCACATTTAAATAGATAAAGTAGTGTATGTATACCGTATTAATATATCATATTTATATACATTCATTTAAAAATATGATACTTTATTAATTTTTTCTCTCTTAATAATATATTTATTATTTCTCTTTTGATTTTCTCTTTGTAATTAACTCTTCACAAATAAATTAAAAATATTTTTAAAAATAATTTAAAATATGTTCTTAAAATTATTTTGAATAATAATATAATTTAGTTTATATTTAAATAAAAAATATATTTTAAATTAAAATAAACATGTTATAAATTATAAATAATTTATTTAATTGATTAGTATATGTTTATATGATAAACATCATATAATTTAATATTTTTAATAAAAAAATTAACTTTTAATTTTCTTCGTATTTAATATACTAATGGATCGAAGTTTACACAATTAACTATTTTTCATATTAATTGAACATTCATGTTATTTGTAATTTTTTAAATATTTAATTTAGTTTAAAATAATTTAAATATAAAATATATATTTATTTAGATTTATACTAAATTATATTATTATTTAAAATAAATATTAAAATATATTTTAATCTGTTTTGAAGTATAATTTTGTAAAAACAAATAATTATTTTTTTACTTTGGATAACTATTGAGAAAATATTTAATGATAGATGAAAAAAAAAGTATAGGTGAGAAAAACTATAATAACAAAATAAAGATAAGAAGGGTAAGAGAAAGAAGAAATATTAGTGGAGTAGAATTTATCCAATTCGTTGTGTGCAGATATGATGCGCTAGTGAATATGCATATTAGAACTTCTCATCTAAATGATATAAGGCATTTCTATAAAATCAATCATAAGTAGTATATTTTAAATATAAAAGTATTTAAATAGAATATGTGTAAGTTTATTTATTTAATTATATTTATTTATTATTCATATATAAAATTTAATATAGAAAAATAGATTCACCTGATGTTTCCTAGTTTATTTTCATTTACTTTTTTTTGTTATTATTTTTTCTTTATCTTTATTTAATGTTTTCTTTTTCTTTTTCTTTTTCTTTTTCTTTTTCTTTTTCTCTTTTCTCTTCCTCTTCTGTCATTTTATCTTATTTTTCAATTAAAAATAATACATAATAAAATTTGATGAAGTGAATCTTTTATTATTTTTAAAAAATAAAATATTTGAATGATCTAAAGATACTACAATTTAATATATTTTATTTAAAAAATATTATACGATAAATTTGAGATATTAAAAATATTATTCTTATGTTATAATTATTTAAAAAATTAAATATTAATTTTAAAGTAATTTAATAATTTTGTTAATATTAATTATTGATGTCATTTAAATAAAATTGTTTACTGTAATAATAAATTAATTAATTATTGTCATTATAATTTATATGATTAGTTTATATTTATTAAATTTTAATACAGTAGTTTAATTAAAATAATAAGTGGAAGATGAGAGAAGAACAAGAGAGGTGAAATAGAAAAAATAAAAAATAAGGATTGAACGAGAAAAGAAAAAAATATACAAATTTACGAAGAGAGAAAAATAAAAAGAATTAATGTCATAAATAATATATTTAAAAAAATTATTTAAATAGAATTTTTTTTAAGTTTAATTATTCATCTGATTCTATTTAATGTTCATATACAAATTTTAATAAGGAAAAATAAATTTGTTTGACATGATATATTTATTTTCTTCTTTTTTTCTCATTTTTTTTCTTTTTTTCTCTTTTTTTTTCTTTTTTTCTCCTTTACTCTTCTCTCACTTTATCTCATTTTTCAATAAAAAAAACATATTGAAGTGAGTTTTTTATTATTATTGAAAAATAAAAATATTTAAATAATCTAAAAATATTATAACTTAATATATGATATATAAAAAAATATTATATGATAAATTTGATATATATAACAAATATTATTGTTATGTTATAATTATTGAGAAAATATAAAAAAGTATTTTAAAGTATTTTTCAATAAATATTTTGTAAAAATACCTAATTATTGACTTAATTATAACTATATTAAAATATTAAATAAAAATATATTTAAATTATAAATATTTGATATTTTTTAATTAAATAAGTAATTATTTATTGTAATAATATAATTTTAAATTAATTATTTACGTCATCGTTAATTAGATTATTTATTATCATCATAATTTTAAATATTTAGTTAATAGTCTTTTAGTTTCAATATTGTTTTTAAAATATTTGTTTTAACATATTTTTATTAAATTTTAAGACAGTAATTTATTTAGGAAAATAAGTGGGAAAGGAAAGTTAAAAATAAGAAACATAAAATAGAAAAGAAAAAGATGCAAGATAAATGAAGAAAGAGAAAAAATAAAATAAAAATTACAAGAAAATGAAAAAAAATTACATATAAACATTAAACAGGTCTATTTAGATAAATAAACTCATAAATTTTATTTAAATAATTTTTCTTTTAAAATATATTATTTTTAGAATTCATTTAAAAAAAATATATGAGCAATAAATAGGTCTACTTGAATAAATAAATTGATAAAAAATTTATTCAAATATTTAAAAAAATATATTATTTTTAGGATTCATTTAAAAAAAACTAAATATGAACAATAAATATGTCTACTTGAATAGATAAATTGATAAAAATTTTATTGAAGTATTTTTTTAAATATATTATTTATAAGATTGATTCTATTTTTATAGGAATAACTCATATTTTTTTTTAAACTGAAAGATGTGAAATATTAATTTATTTGTTCAAATCATTTTTAAGCAAACTTATAATGAGTTTTATTTTAATATAAATTTTCTTAATAAATTTTAAAAAAATTATCTCTTCCCTCATATATTTTCTTTATTTTTTTTTAAATTATATATAAAAATTATTTATTAAAATGTTTAAATGAAATATCAGTTTAAGACTATTATGTAATCTGATAAATTGTTTAATTATTTTTTTTTCTATACTTCTTTATTAAATTACTTATAAATTAGAAAGAATCAATACTTTAAAATTTATAAAAAAATTATTAGAATAAAATTAATAATAAATTATTCGAGAATAATATGCATAAATTCATATTCTATATTTTTAAAAGTGAGAAATAATTCATGAGTTACTCCTCATAACTATAAAATTAATTAAACAACTTATTATATTATATAATAAAAATCCTTCAATAAAAAATTATTTCAAATAATTAATATTTTACTTAATCATCAACTTTGTAAATATATTCATTGAATAAAGTTTATCATGGAATATCAAAAGTTATATTTTTTAGAACTGATGAATAATTATTTTTTAGATGGGATAAAATAACATTATTTAAATATATATATATATATATATATATATATATTCTTTGATAAAACCAGTTAAGTGATATTTTATTAATTAAAAATATTTTTTAAATGTGACAAAATAACAGTAAAATTATGAACCTTACAAAAATCAGTGTTAAACAATTATTTGATGGTTAAACAGGTTCTTTGATCAGTTTTAATTAATAAAATAAATAAAATTAATGTTTAGAGGTTTATCATTAATAATCATTCTACTGTTATAACATATCATATCCGTTATAAACTTGGATGCTATTTTTGGTTATACTTTATTTCAAACGTTAACAAGTTGCAAAAATATTTTAATAAAGTTTGATTAAGAATACTGACAAAAAGAAAACATCGTGTTTGGTGTGACTAATAAAATAATAATAATAATAATAATAATAATAATAATAATTATTATTATTATTATTATTATTATTATTATTATTATTAGTATTATTATGATAAAGGTGATAGTTTGGAGATTTAAAAAAGAAAAATAAATAATGTGATAAGAAACTGTCTGCCACTTGAAGAAAATCTTTATTGATTTTAAAAAATTAAATCCATCATAATTTAGGATGATTTCAGGTTAATTATAAATGTCATATATTTTCTTACAAAGTGTACTTTTAAAATTATTTCATGTTAATAATACAAATTTTACTTAATAACTAATATATCCATATCTTATTTTAATTTGCAAATGATAAAATATATTTAAGTATATAATTATTTTTGTATTATAGTATTTAATTATATATCATATATAATTTAAAAATGAAAATATTGTAGAATTTGAATTGCCTAATCTTGTCTTATGTATTATAATAATTTAATTAAAAAATTTCAATTGAAAACCACATCAAGATTTTGAAGAGTAAAAGTAAATTTATTTCTTCTCATGAGAACATGACCTATGACAAGGATTAGAGCAAGAGACTCTTCAACAAGTATTATTGGTTGACCAAATTGTGTTTTGAATTAATCAATTAATGGGTTTTAGTTTGATTTTATTAAGTTGTAATAAGGACCTAATTGAAAATTTAGTTATCGGGAGACCAAGATAGGTGATTAACTTTTGGTTGACACAATTTCGATTAAAATCAGTCATTAAGTAGTTTTTAATTTCTATATTAATAAATCATTATTAGTATTTATTTTCCTTTAGTGAATCTTTTAACTCTAATGGAAAAAATTTTTTATAAGCTAAATCATTTTTATAAAAAATAACAAGTGAAATTTTATTCGAACTATTAGAGTTTATCTCTTTTATCTTAGTAAGAGTGATTCTCCTAAATTTTTGAGTGATTCAAGAATCATTGGTTGTATCAAAAGACTTTCACATCCTTTGTGAGTTGTCTTCCTTAGAAAGAGTGATTCTTTTCTTCCACCTTATCACTAAATTCTTAAATTTCTTATAATGTTCTAACCCTAAAGATCTTAAATCAGCCTTGTGATTCATATCAAATTAACACTACTACTTATTCATAATGTCCTAATGAATAAATATATTTACAAGTGGCAATTATTATTTACACATCCTATTTCTACCATATAATCTTTTTATATATATATATATATATATATATATATATATATATATTTTTTAATTAACACTTATGCAAAACACTTTCTCTAGTAAATTTCATATATTTATGGAAAGTAATTCTTGAAAAAAAAAAAAAAAAAGAGAGGGGAACAATTACTTTTTGTATTGTTTTATATCATAGTGCAAAAACCTGGATTTTTTACTTGTTTTTGTTTTCATGAAAGTTTTATTTTTCAACATAGAGCTATAATGACTAGAAAATAGAACATAAGTTTTAATTACTTTACTTGAAAATTTTTCACTAATGTAATCAGAACATCAATACATTACAAAATTCATATTCCAAATTTCTTTGCAAAATCATATAATTTTTTTTTCTATAATTTATTCTTCAAAGATAAATGAAGTCGGTATATCAATGCATGATAAATACATAACTTATAAACAAATCGATATTAAAAAAAGAAAAACCTTCCAAAAATATTTTTAAAATGTTAAAAAATAAAAAACTATTGTTTTTTGAAATGTTACAATGTTAACATTATTAAAAAGTATTTTTCCAAATATATTAAAAAATTTGTGTAATTTTTTCTTTAGAAAACAAGAGGTATATATTTAGATGGGAAAAAATCATAATTAGTTTTTATGAGAGAAACAATACAAAGAAAGTTTTATTTATTTATAAATTAATATAAAAAAATATATTATTATAATTTTTTAATTTTTAACTTTTCATCACCTTAATTTAATTTATTAGAAAATTATTATAACTCTAAACGGATAATAAGCATTATGTATTTTGCTTTGCGTTCTCAGAAAAATTCTTAAAAACATAACATTTATCCGAATAACCATATTGAACATCAAATTTTGGGCAAAGTTCTTAGGAACATATAGAAACAAGATACATAAACAACCTTACAAACTGGAACAGACACAAGGAAAAGGGAAAGGGAGAATGGAAATAAGAATAACTGAAGAAAGCTTCTTTGTCTAGGATCTTGAGATTGAGGGGCTCCCTGGGAAAGTTGCTAAAGCGTTGTTGTCAGTGTACTCTTTGCAGCAATTCTTTTCGGCACAAACTTTCGAGCCCACACATGCTTCCCATTGATGGTGAATTTGGCCTTGGTAGCTCCTCTGAGAATCATGTCAATGGTGGAAGAGATGCGAAAAACAATGCGAGCAAACAGCGCTTGCTCATTTGGCTGCACCTCCTGCATGTAAAGAGCCTCAATACAATCTCCATATGCCATAGTAAAGAAATCTCTCACCTCCCACTCGGCCACGCGGTATCCTTTGGAGAAGGTCACAAACAAAGTTCTATCATCAGCTGGAACATCAATCCTCAATTGTCCAAGTGAACCAAACCACAAAGCCTTTTGGTTCAGGTTATCTGGACTTGCTTTAATCGTCATCTTTTGAGCCTCCACCACTTTATCATTCGAGTTCCTTATGATGGCTTGCTGCATGATGTCAGTGAAAGCCCTCACACACACATCTTGCATCAATTTAGCCACGCCTTGGAGCGCACTAACGCGGTTTTCATACAGGAACTGAAGTGATATTTCCTTATCCACAAGACTCTGGAGAAGGGGTATCTCACTGTTTTCGAAAGAGGAGGAAGGTGCTATGAAGCTATTGTTGTTAAGACAGTTCAGACACAAAACAGTTTCCTCTGCAACCTCATCGATCAAGATGTTGGGCAACGCCAATATCGTCTTCACCACGTTGCGAAACCCCACCTTCTCCAGCCACAACCACAAGCCATGGACTTGCATGCACTCGCCTGGTTCGCGGAAGAGAATCATCACAAGAATTTTGTACAATTCTCTGTCTATTCTATGAAATAGATTGAACTCCTCTTGGGTGACCATGAAAGAAGAAGACTCCAAATCCATCAAACAAACACTGTGATAGGATCTGAATATCAGAGTCTTGGTACATAGCACCAAGTTGACCAATCCCATATAAATACTGAGGGTATAATACAAGGTAAACCCCTTGGAATGAAAAGGTACAACCATTTGTCACCACGTGTTGGTATGCATGTTTGGTGATTTGAGAGTTACGATACTTTAACTGGTCTATATTTACTGTCATCAGTTTCAATCAGAGCTTCATGAAGGTTGGCCAACTCAGATATCTACATGGTGACAGTAAGATGATAATCTTTTTCGTGTAAAACAAATAAATTAAACTGGTGCCATGTCCAAGTGCAGACAATAACCAGTTACAAAACTTTTCAAGCATCTTTAACTTTTTAATAACTGATAAATAAACTTTTAATTGCAAAAATATAATATTTTTTTCAAAATTACACGTTATTTCACTTGTTCTGTCATATAAAACTGTCATATAAAACGTGTATAATTAAATTACTCTTATTAGTTAGTCATAATAAATTTATATAAAATTATAACTTTTTTTAAAGTAATGTTAAATAATTAATTCATGGAAAAAAATAATAAACTCTTTAATTTTTTAATTTAAAAAATATAATATTAACGTTATGTATGTATAATTATATAAATATATGTACTTGGAAAACTCCTCTTTGAATCAAACCGCGTGACAACGTCCTAAACATCTTAAATTGAATAATGAGAAAGGAATAAAATTACCAAATATATTAATATATAAGGTTAAATAAATTTAAATATGAAATATTGATTTTTTTTAATTTAACCTAAAAAATATATAAATTAAAATACTTTTTATTTTTAATATTAAATTAACATTTAAAATATATTTTTAATGAAAAAATAATTTTAAGAAACTTATTAACAAAATAATTATCAAGTTTTTTACACTTCTAAGACTAAATAGACAATTTCTTCATATTAAAAGCATGAGAGTGGAGAGCCTGATACTTACAATTTGTTTTGTTTGATTACTACAAGTAAGGCCAGAAATAATCAATTATGCTTAATTATATTCCATTATTTTCATCTTTTCAATCAATTAATTAATTTCACATCACTTATTGCAACAAACAGTTACATTATTACTTTATTATTAATACGACTTTTAGCCTTATTTTACATACCATTCTTTTCTTTTTTTCTCTATATATTATATTTATTATTAAACATAATTTTAAGAAAATATAGCTTTATTTTTATTTCTGTTTTTCTAATAAATTAATATTTTTTTTTATTTTTTTTCTCTTATCTTCCAAGTTCTTCTTACAAAACTTCATACCTTATTTCCTTTCTCTCAAATACGCTATAACATCTTAAAATATTATATCAAATTATAACATTTTTTAATCATAAAGTTATATCATATATAATCCCTACACTCAACCATAATTCAAAATTTTAATTATAATTTCAAAAATTATTGTTTTCATTATGTCATTGAGTATAAAAAAATAAAGTTGACTGCATTTTAAAAGAATTTGAACTAGTTTTTCCCAAATGAACTTCATTGAAACTTATCTATGTTTATGTTTAAGCAATTATATTTGAGAAGTAATATTAATGTTTAATTTAATATTATTAATGTTATATAAACTAATATATTTGTCTCATATGACACAAGACATTAATGTTACAACTCTTCAAAAATAGTCTATGGAAGTTATTTGAAAAATAAAAAAATATTTTAAGTAGGTATATTTTTTTATTCAAATTTATCATAACGATGATTTTTATACTTTACGAGATTATTCTTGTTAATATGATTTTTTTTTGAAATTTGTATTAATACCAATTAAAACAATATTATTATAATACTGGTATTTTTAAACTATTAATATTAAAATAATTTTTATGCATTACAGTAATTGAAAATTTGTGAAATTTTCCATCTCACACAATTATAACTAATATATATATATATATATATATATATATATATATATAATTTAATAATTTACATAATATTTTTTTATTCAAAAAATAAGTCTGATTTGAAAAAAAAAAAAAACATGAGTTAACTCAATCTATTTTAGTCATAAACTAGACTTAAGTTAAGTTAACCTTATTAATATGATATATTTATAGAATAATATTTTTTAAAATAAAATAATAATATTATTATATATTTTATAAATTAATTCAATAAGATATTTATTTATTTTAAAATAAATATAAAAATAAATCTATAATTTAATAATTTTTATTCTAAATCATTAAATTACTATAATAAAAATTAGTTATATAATAAATAATAAATTTTTTATTCTTTCGGACAAAGATCCCTTCTTATCGAGATGATCTCCTCAGACATAACAACGCCACCTTAGCTTAAAAGTCAACTCAAGTTCATATTTCTTATAAGAAGAGTGCTCTGCAATAAAACGAGATTGAAAGTTTTCTGATACACAGGATTCTTATAAGAGGCAAGTGTAGAGCATATTTGCATCTAAGTAGGAAATGATAATAAGAACGATATGTTTCAGACTTTCAGAGAAGAGAAAACTTAGAGAGAGAATATTTTTAGAAAGATAACTTATTCGATTCATCCTTGTTGGTTATGATTTACAACATTACAAGCCCTCATATTTATAGGCAAACTATATAAGCGAAATTGAAAATTTCGCTAAACTAAAATGAATTTCAGACTCAAAATATCATACAAAGTGGAATCTAAAGATAAGATTATTACTCATATTCATTATGACCTTACAGACAAGATAAGATACGATGAGATATCTTACAGACAAAAATAAGATATGATGAGATATCATATTTCTTTAAATAAAGTAAAGTTGATTCGGTCTATCTTCATTAATGCGTTTGCGAATTTCGCAATGGATGTGTAAAATTAAGAGAATCTTATTTTAGTAACATGTCATGATAACAGTCATTAACTAAGGTCTTTACTTTGTGCCAAATCTGGTGGAGTTGGAATGATTCATCTGCTAGGCCTCGCTCCTTATCATCCTTTCATGTAGTGGATCCCAGTAGGAATACATTTCCTTGTGTATCATCATTTCTTCCATTAATTCTTCATTGTAATCATCTGTTAAGTCTTCAACCTTTTGGAATTCTTCTTCGGGCACATAAATCTCAGTCGTTGATTTGAAGAATCTTATCTAATGAGATCTATCATCCTTTAGGACGATCCTATTCAGAGGATAAGAACTAAGCGACATTTGGGATGAACTGACAATATTGAGGTCCACCGTCTTGTAATGGTAGTTGTTGACTTCAAAAAGATGTCAAGCTAGTTGGGTTCTATAACTTTCATCAAGAGGATAAGTCTTAAAGTTGTCCCAGATGTAGACTTCATTTTTTACCATAATTGACCTGCAGGATTTAGAAAGTATGGGCGGTGGATGATGAATATTGAAGTGAGATCTTTAAGAGAGTTTTCGGTCACTCCCCTTTGTTTTTTACAGTCTAAGATCCTTTAAAGCTCTTGTCTCCACCAAGACAGTGGTGAGAACCATTCAAATAAAGTCTATAAGTGAAACTTGTCTTTATAGGAATCTGTCAAAATTCTATAGGTTGTCTGTGTTTTTAATGCAATGGGGATGGAATATTGTGTCACACCATATAGTCCAAAGTGTTGGTTCATAAAGGTCCCAACCTGGGTCACAGAGTAATTCATGTTGAAAAATAAGGGGTATTGCAATACTGAGAACGTTACCGAGAACGTTAGGTAGTTAGGGTTTTGGGCTCAATCTACATCTATAAATAGAGATCATTTCATACTCTTTCAGAGACATCTTTCTCATATTTTCTTCTCTATTATTTTCTTTATGTTCTACTATTATCCTGGGTTTATTTACTCCTTTAAGAGTTTCTTGCTAGTTTCTGAGATCCTCGAAAATTATGAGAAGTTCTTGTTGTATCCTGGGGGACTTGCGCAATACACCGCGGATAAGTCCTTAAGGACAGTGATTATACACGCCTCAGGAATAAAGTTTGTTCGTGTCTGTAAGAATCGCGCAGCGGAATATTCGCGTTTAGGGACAAAAACCAAGAGGGGGTGAATTGGTTTCTTAAACAAAAGTTAGGGTTTTGAAAATTTTCCCAAATTTCACCGATTAAAATGCTTTGTAAAGTAAAGAGATAAGGGAAAGAAGATTACACAGTTGATTTATACTGGTTCGGATCGAAAGACCCTACGTCCAGTTGTTAATCACTCAAAAAGAGGATTAACGCTGTCACTATAATCACAATTTACAACAGATTACAAATTGAAAAGATAAGGAATAGAAAACACCTCTCTTGAGTCACACAAGAGATGAACACCTCCTTTGAATCCACAAAAGATGAACAACAGTTTTTCCTAGAAATGACACAACACACAATCCACCAAGAAATCCACTCAGAGATTCTTGTCGCTTCTAGCCCACACTAGGTTTTCAAAAGCCCATTTTTCTTCCCTACAGAAAGTTCTCTAGCAATCACAACTCTTAACTGTTGTATGAAAAAGGTTTGTTAATTTGCAGAGAGCCTTAGAGAACCTTAAGTAGAGAGAATAGCGTCTGGAAAATGATGATTTTCGAAAACATAAGAATTGGGAATAGGGTTTTCGTAAATTGGTCCAGATTTGAATTTCAAAACTCATAACAGACGTAGATAATCGATTATCTTAAGTGATAATCGATTATTACAGAGCCATTTTTGCAGAGGAGTAAAACAGGACCAGGATAATCGATTATCTGTGTGAATAATCGATTATCTGGCTGGGATAATCGATTATCCTGAGTGATAATCGATTATCACAGAGAGCTTTTCAGAAAAATGATTTTCAGTGCAGGATAATCGATTATCATGAGTGATAATCGATTATCACAGAGTGGATTTGATAAAAATGAGTTTTCAGATCATGGACTATGTGCTGGCTATCTTGAACTCTAATTATACAGAATAAAAAACATAAAATAGAGTTAATACAAGTAAAATACACATGATTATAAGTCTTCAAGTTTTTAAGTCCT